CCCACACACGATGACAAGCAATGAATTAGGGCATGTCATTAGCGACCGATTTTATCATCTTTATCGACGGAGCACGCGCGCAAAACTTTGTAAATTTTAACAAGTCGAGTAATTTAGCTTAATTTAGTTTAATTATTATAGACGGACGAGGCGCGCGATAGGGAAAAAAAGCGTAAAGAATTAGCCGGTAGAAACGCCCAGCTAGAAACCTCAATGTCCTAAATTAAGCTTTTCAGGCCAGGCATCGACGAATGCGGTTGTATGTGTGGGGAAGACTAGACCTTGCCTATTAGCTCTATTTGTCAGAAATATCGCACGCACTGAGCGACACTTTGCAAAACGCGTAATCGAATTACATGCCGGTGATTTTTTCCCTTCCTAGTCGAAATAATTAATCCGCGAGTTTTCCCGCCAGGTAGCGCACCCGGCGTTTCCGCTACCAAATATCACGCGTTTAAAAAAATACGACAAAGTCGGTTTCCTTCGGGTTACCACCCTCACAGTCGTAAGCGGGTACCACTAGCCTCCCACGGTTCAGTGAGGGGGAGAGCGGGGGGAGGCGTGTTGGTGGATGAGTGGGTGCTGGTGGGGGCGTGTGTGAGCCAGCAGCTGACGTGCGGAGCGGTTGCTACTATTTGCTTAACTGAATTGCCGACACGTGTCGCGCGCCGTCGGCTCCCGTGTATCACGCCTATCTCTGACTGATAACAGCTTATCATGTCCGACTTTATATCGGCGCACGCAGCCGTGCGCGCATGCCGTCACACGTACACGACAATACGGTGTGCGTGCACCTGCACGCACGCACGCACGCACGCACGCACGCAAACACGCACGCACGCAAACACGCACGCAAACACGCACGCACGCATGCACGCACGCACGCACGCAAGCACGCACGCAAGCACGCACGCACGCACGCAAACACGCACGAACATACTCAATTCGGTATGCACGCGCGCACGTACGCAGGCAAGCACGCACGCGCACACGAACGAAGGCAACCACGCACGAACGCACGTACTCAGGCAACCACGCACGAACGCTACGTCACTGTGGATTCTGCATATCAAATATTCGCGCGTAAAATTAATTCAAATTAACGTTGCATCGTTATTGCACGTGGTCCAAGGATCGTTTAAAACTATTATACAAGGCATATGGATGTTGTGTTTACAGTTTGTACCTTCTCAGAACTCACAACACCCATGTAGTTCATATAATCACGAGGTAGAGACTGTCTAAACGCTGAATCTTCCGCTATCGCTGCCTCGAGGGCCTGGGGTACGAGCTAGAATTGTCCAGAAACAGTTGTATCATTAAACTGTTTTTGTACATCAATTAATTCAACAATATAGATTTGTCTTACTCTGTCGTGTTCATATGTCATCATCTCCTTCAATGTTCTTCCAAAACACAAACTTGTCCATTCCAGATTTAGTTAGAAAGTGTAAATACTGCTTATTAGACAATCATTTTATATATTAAAGGATAAAAATGATAAAAACCTCTGAGAGCCAATCAAGACGCACATTGCAATAAGACAATTAATGAACCACCCTTGTACATCTTGGACTCTTATTTACAAACTCTTACCTTTTCCAGTAGATCACCCCACGTGTTTCTCTGGCATGTTGACAGTGTAACGTGAAGGGAATGAGTGTCCTCCATCGTATCAGCCTGAGGAATTACCAAATATTTCTTCACATAACATGCCTAAAGCTTATAATATATGTTCAACATACATGACAACTTCTGCATTAATATACACACAATCACAATATATTTTTATAAGTATTATCATGTTTTTTCTAAGTAGGAAGTCAGGAGTTTACCTGATGAATGAATCCTCTTGGAAAGTACAACATGTCTCCAGCTTCTAAAACCACGTCTAAAATCGGTTCACCTATTTCCTCCTGCGTAAAATTAGCTGAAATCAAAAACAAACGCGATCACGTAGGTATAAAACGCATACCCAGAACATTAAACCAAACCAGTATTGTTTTTAAAAGTAGATTGAGCTATGAGAAAATAGTCTATACACATACAGCAGCACATATATACATAGTTTTAGCTATTACTCACGGCTGGAATATCTTGGCAACATCTCGTCTTCAGATCTGAAAAACAATCAAAATCAGCCATCTTGAATAACATTAATTAAGATCACATTCTTCTCCACTCCCTATTAAACTCAATATTATTATGATTATTATACATTATGTCATTTATTATCACGATTTAGGCAGATTATATCCTGTATAAGCACCAGGTTATTTTCAAGATTTACATAGTCCAGACCAAGACTAAATATGAGTACATGACAGAATGAAGAGAATAAATCAGTGAAGCTTATCTGAAATGAAACTGCAATGCTAACTATTATATCAAAACAAAAATGTTGTGAATATCGGAGGTATCACAAGTCATATCAGTTCACAAAATTCAAAATGGTAGCACGGTTGATTAATAGTAGCAATAGCAATAAGCACATAAGGCATATTATTATATCAGTAAATAGCTGCCTTCAGGCATCACATCACACCTATCCACACGGACACTGACAAGTATACACGCACGCTTTCATAGTAAAATGGCAGACACGATATATTTCTAAAGGAATAGACGTGTTCTGCCTGATTAAAGAAATCAACGTGGTGAGCAGGAGTCTTTCTCACTCACGCGGAGACGGTAAACGAATACTTTAACTCTCTCCGCGAAACTTTTCGTCTCCTTGTGTGTGAGGTCGTCGCCGGGGTAACCCAATCAATCGTCCATCAATACGCCAATATGTTAATCCACGCAAAAATTCAAGGTGCCGTGTCGAATGTTTATCCGCGCCTAACGAGATACCGTTATTACATAATACGCCGTCAAAAGCTGCACAACAAATATTACATCAAACGACCAATTGATGCGGCCGGCCGAGATTTTACCCTGGTCTCGCAGCCAATCAGAGAGGTCAATTAGCAGACGGAGCAGCAAAGGCAGTTTCACAGGAGTTGTGGCCATTAATTTAGCTACTTAGTTAGAGAAATTGCCTTATCGATAACCTCTCCTGCGGGATTCAAGTCTGTTCCATTAAGCTGGAGCCGTGTGCGGCGGTGACGAGCGAACACCGTTCGTACGGCCCTAATTCAATCTTGCCGGGTAATCAAGATGGCATAATGGTTCGCTGGGCAAGTAATCATGTTAATGCTGGACTCATGCACACAATTATAGCACAACCGCATCTCTCTCCTCCAGAGACGCTGATGCAGGCGGGCAGGGCCACCGCCTCGGGGTTGCTGCGTGCGTGCTTCCAATCTCACACACACGCGCACGCAGGCTTGCCGGCCGCGCGCTCAGGGTTGTGCTGTTGCCGGCTGGCTGGCTGGCTGGCTGACTGCCCATTAGACTTACTGCTCGTGCTAATGCGGCTGGCTTGCTACTACCGCCTGCAGCCAGACGAAACTGAAGACACACACACACGCACACACACACACACACACACACACACACACACGCACACACACACAGAGTCGTATGTGCGAGCCACGCTACGTGCTCGTGCTCACTCCACACTCAACAACAATACAGACTGTTGCTATGGACACATCTCGTTTTATATACACAATATCGGTTCTATATAATATATATAATATGTGCACGTTTACACGTTTATACAGTATTATAACCTATTAAGAAATATATGCCTGCTAACTGCAGTTATAAGTAGCGACTAGACACATAACACACATATGTGACCCGCTCCAGCAAAACCAGGATTAAGTCAGAAATTTTACAAATTGAATTATGTGCATATCTGAATAGATCATTTAATTACCTTTAAAATGATATAAAATATTTGGCTATATCTAAAGAATTGACCGATCTACAGCAATTTGAAGATCGGAAACAGACTTATTCCGGAATATGCAGCTTTTGAGATAAAGCGTTCTGGGTAAGGGGCCCAGTCGGGGATGAGCGGTCAGGGGCCCTTAAAAAATATTTTTTATTTTTTAAATTTTTTAAATTAAAAATGACCATAATAATCTATAGATATCTGAACCTATATATACGGATTAAATATGCACTTATGAACTTATTTTTGTAAAAATCTCATTTTTGGCCAGGTAGGCCATTTTCAGCATTGACATGTGTGCGTGCTCATTACTCAAAACAATGACTTGCGACTTAGTCCGTATTATGCTGGAGCGGGTCACATATAACATATTAAATATTATATTAATACACATTAGGCCAAAAAAGATTCGTGTAACACGAATTTATAAGGCATGTGGTAGGTAGATGGGTGAGGTAGCTAAGGCATGTGGTAGGTGAATGGATGAGGTAGCTAAGACATGTGGTAGGTGGATGGATGAGGTAGCTAAGGCATGTGGTAGGTGGATGGATGAGGTAGCTAAGGCATGTGGTAGGTGGATGGATGAGGTAGCTAAGGCATGTGGTAGGTGGATGGATGAGGTAGCTAAGGCCTGTGGTAGGTGAGGCGATTGGATGGAGTAGCTAGGCATGTGGTAGGCGGGATGGGATGAGGTAGCTAAGGCATGTGTAGGTGATTGATGAGGTAAGCTGTAAGGCATTCGGTAGGTGATGATGAGGGTAGCTAGGCATTTGGTAGGCTGGATGGATGAGGTAGCTAAAGCATGTGGTAGCGGATGGTGACGGTAGCTAAAGGCATGTGGTAGGTGAATGGATGAGGTAGCTAAGGCATGTGGTAGGCGATGGAATGAGGTAGTTAAAAGCATGTGGTAGCGGAATGAATGAGGTAGCCTAAGCAATGTGGTAGGCGGATGGAGGAGGTATGCTAAAGGCATGTGGTAGGTGGATGGATGAGGTAATGCTAAGGCATGGCGGTAGTGATTTGGATGAGGTATGCTAATGCCATGTGGTAAGGTGGATGGATGAGGTAGCTAAAGCTGTGGTAGGCGGATGGGTGAGGTAGCATAAGGCATGTGGTAGGTGAATGGATGAGGTAGCTAAGGCATGTGTAGAGTGATGGATCGAGGTAGCTACAGGCATGTGGTAGGTGGATGTGATGAGGTAGCTAAAGACATGTTGGTAGGGTGGAATGGATGAGGTAGCTAAGCAATGGGTGGTAGGTGATGATGAAGGTAGCTAAGGCAGCGTGGTAGTGGATGGGTGAGGGTAGGCTAAGGCATGTGGTAGGTGGATGGATGAGGTAGCTAAGGCATGTGGTAGGTTGATGGATAGGTAGCTAAGGCATGGTGGTAGGTGGATGGATGAGGTAGCCTAAGACAAAATGTGTAGGATGGATGATTGAGGTAGCTAAAGCATCGTGGTAGGTAGAATGGTCAGGTAGGCTAAGGGCATGTGTAGGTGGATGGGTGATGGTAGATTAAAGCTCATGTGTAGGTGGATGGATGAGGTAGCTAAGGCATGTGGTAGGTGGATGGTTGAAGGTACTAAGGCATGTGGTAGATGGAAGGATGAAGTAGCTAAGGAATGTGGTAGGTGGACTGGATGAAGGTAGGACTAAGGCTCATGTGTAGGTAGAGATGGATCGAGGTAGCTAAGGCTATGTGGTAGGTGATGTGATGAGGTAGCATAAGGCAATGTTTGGGTAGGTGGAAGATGGATGAGGTAAGCTAAGGCATGTGGTAGGTTGGATGGATGAGGTTAGCTAAGCGCATGTGTAGGTGATGGAATGAGGTAAGCTAAGGCATTGTGTAAGGTGGATGGATGAGTAGCTAAGGCATGTGGTAGGCTGGAGATGGATGAGGTAAGGCTAAAAGGCATGTGTAGGTGGTGTGGCATGAGGTAGCTAAGGCATGTGGTAGGTGGAGTGGATGGAAGGTAGCTTAAGCATGTGTAGTGAGATGGATGAGGTAGGCTAAGGCAATGTGGTAGGTGGATCTGGATGAGGTAGCTGAAGGCATTGTGGTAGGTGGCTGGATGAAGGTAGCTCTAAAGCATGTGGGTAAGGTGGTTGGGTGACGGTAGCTAAGGCATGTGGTAGGGTAGGTGGTTGGATGAAGGTAGCTAAGCGCAATGTGGTAGGTGCGATGGACTGAGGTAAGGCTAAAGCATGTGGTAGGTGTTGGGTGAGGTAGCTAAAGCATTGGTAGGTGGATGGATGAGGTAGCCCTAAGGCACGTGCGTAGTGGATGGTGAGTAGCTAAGGCATGCGGTAGGTGGATGGGATGAGGTAGCTAAGGCATGTGGTAGATTTGGATGGATGAGGTAGCTAAAGGCATTGTGGTCAAGGTTGGATGAGTGAGGTAGGCTAAGGCAAATGTGGTAAGGTGGATGGATGAGGTAGCTAAGGCATGTGTAGGTGGAGATGTATGAGGTAGCTAAGGCATGTGGTATGCGGGAGAGGGGTGGATGGATGTAGGTAGCTAAGGGGCATGTGCGGTAGGTGGATGGGGGAATTGAGGTACTGAAGCATGGTGTAGGGTGGATGGATGAGGTAGCATAAGGGCATGTGGTAGGAGGATGGATGAGGTAGCTAAGACATGTGGTGGTGGATGGATGAGGTAGCTAAGGCATGTGTAGGTGATGGCGTGAGGTAGCTAAGGCAGTGTGGTAAGGTGATGGATGAGGTTAGGCTAAGGCAGTGGTAGTGTTGGATGAGGTAGCTAAGGCATGGTGGTAGGATGGATGGATGAGGTAAGCTAAGGCATGTGGTTAGGAGGATGGATGAGGTAAGCTAAGACATGTGGGGTAGGTGGAATGGATGAAGGTAGCTAAGGCAATGTGGAGGTGATGGATTGAGGTAGCGTAAGGCATGGTAAGGTGGATGGATGAGGTAGCTAAGGCTATGTGTGTAGGTGTTGGATGAGAATAAGCTAAAAGGCATGTGTAGGTGATGGATGAAGTAGACTAAGGCATGTGGTAGAGGATGGATGAGGTAGGCTAAGACATGTGCGTAGGTGATGGATGAGGTAGGCTAAGGCATGGGTAAGGTGGAGTTGGGTGAGGTAGCTAAGGCAATGTGGTAGGTGGTTGGATGAGGTAGCTAAAGGCGATGTGGTAGGTAGATGGAATAGGTATGCTAAGAATCATGTGGTAGGTGGATGGATGAGGTAAGGCTAAGGATGTGGTAGGTGGATGGGTGAGGTAGCTAAGGCATGTGGTAGGAGGAATGGATGAGGTAGCTAAGACATGTGGTAGTGGACTGGATGAGGTACTAAGGCATCGTGGTAGGGGTGGAGGGTGAGGTAGCTAAGGCATGGTGGTAGGTTTGGATGGATAGGTAGCTAAGGCATGTGGTACGTGGATGGATGAGGTAGCTAAGGCAGTGGTATGGTGGACTGGATGAAGGTAAGCTAAGGCATGTGGTAGTGGTTGGACTGAGGTAGCTAAGGCCAATGTGGTTAGGTGGATGGATGAGGATAAGCTTAAGGACATGTGGGTAGGTGAAATGGATGAGGTAATCTAAGGCAATGTGGTCAAGGCTGAGATGATGAAGCTAGCTAAGACATGTGGTAGGTGGATGGCATAGAGTAGCTAAAGCATGTGGTAGGCTGGATGGGTGAGGTAGCTAAAAGGCATGTGGGTAAGGTTGGATGGATAGAGGTAGCTAAGCATGTGGTAAGGTGGAATGATGCAGGTGCTAAGGCATGTGGGTAGTGGATGGGTGAGGTTAGCATAAGACATGATGGTAGGTGGATGGATGAGGTAGCTAAGGCATGTGGTAAAAAGGTGGATGGGTGAGGTAGCTAAGACATGTGGTAGGTAAGCTAAGGCATGTGGTAGGTGGATGGATGAAGGTAACTAAGGGCATGTGGTAGGTGGACTGATGAGGTAGCTAAGGCATGTGTAGGTGGATGGGTGAGTAGCTTAAGACATATGGTAAGGTAATGGGTGAGGTAGCTATAAGGCAATGTGGGAGGTGGATGGATGAGGTAGCAATGGTCATGGATGGAGGCCGAATGGGTGAGGTATGCTAAAGGCACCGTGGTAGGTGGATGGAATGAGAGTAGCTAAGAATGCCATGTGTAGGTGGATGGGTCAGGTTAGCTAAAAGGCATGCTGGTAGGTGGAAATGGAGTGAGGTAGCTAAGGCATGTGTAGGTGATGGGTGAGGTAGCTAGGCATATGTGGTAGGTGGATGGGTCAGGTAGCTAAGGCATGTGGTAGGTGGAATGATGAGTAACTAAGGCATGTTGGTAGGTGGATGGATGAGGTAGCTCGAG